CCAGCACTGGGTTGTATTTAACCCAGCATTTTTTAGAGTGTGGTTCGAACTTCATTTCGGCGCACAGCACCTTGAGATGATTGTTAGTGCAAACAACGAACATTAATCGTATGGTAAATTCAATATACTAGGCTATACATTTTATTTTTCATTAAGTTAATTGTTTTTATTACTTGTATTAATTGCATGGCTCTCTGGAATGCTTGATTCTGATCGGTCAGTCTTGGCATTTAGCGAGCAAATATTTTTGAATAATAAATCATAAGAAAAATTATTATAAGTAGCAACCCGACTGCAGTAGCGTCGCTATTAAAAATCAATATTTCATTTAAATGTTTTATTTGTTAATTTATAGCCTAAATAGCTCACTTCAGAGTGTCCTAAAACCTCCGCGACGATGCCTTCCTAATCACTGAGTGCTTTTCTTCTTTACGAACTTTTTTCCAAAGCTCTTTTTGTTGCAGTAGCCTAGTTTTTGGTTTTATTTATAAAACGAATCCATCTTTAATATAAGCAGCAGCATATATAATTAAATGTTAATTTCATTTACCCCACCCGACTAGGCATACTAATATCTGCACGTTAATTTTTTATATGATAATATTATTTTCTATGTAAATCGTCAGCTGCGCTTCTAGCGTTCACCACTAGTCGGTGAGTGGCGCTCGAGAGTCTGCTGCTTTTCCAAAGATGTTTCTTTCATAATAAGTAGAAGCACATAATCAGAGTACATTTTCACACCAGATTTGGACAGATTTACTTCATATTTAATGTGCTAAAGCTCCTGGTTGAATGAAAAAATTAACAACAAAACTATATTTTTTGTTTTTCGATGATGGCGCGCGCCTAGCGTCCCTCAGGCATTGCTTTAATTCCAGATTTCTGATTTGATCACTGTTTTTTCCCCTTCTCTTTCCCTCCCTTGTGTTTGGAGGATGTCTGAATATCTGTGCCTCGCATGAGTAGGTTATTATTCTGCCCTGTGGCTCTGAGAGATGCAGTGAATGAGTTAGTGTCTCCATGTGTGAGCTCAGTGATATTTGTGTAAACGCACACGTCTATTACACCTGGAGAATTTTCCACAGTATGCCAGTTTTAGGCCAGTGAATGTTGCACTGTGAATATTCCACAGCTTGTTGTTGCTGGTACAAAAACATTAATTCAGCAAGTTATGTTGTTTAATGTGAACTCCAAAAAAAGTTATGCGAACCAAGCCATTATTTAGGATTCTCTTTTTATGTTCAAGTCCATTTATGTCTGCTAGTTACCTTTAAGCAGTCATCGTTGTTCAATATTGCTGAATTCGGGGCAGCAGACAGACTTTAGAGAGTGCAGTGATTTTTAGGTGGGGAATATTTATTTAACATGGATGTTCCTTCAACC